CAGCTACAAAAGCACCATATTTGGAAGAGATAAATTCACAAGCACGCTATTTACAGGAGGTTTTTCTTTCTAGTACCCTCTGAGCTGAGCTTGACAACTCACTAGCCACGTAAACCGAGGACGCATATGGCGGTGACTGAGTTGTGCACTTTGAGAAACAACAACTCTCCCAAACATACTTTGGAAATAAATTAAAGGAATCGTTGATGTCTTTTTCCACACATGCTTTGAATATAATATGGAAGCGTTGTTGTTTCTTTTAGTATGTAATTAGTAATTAAGCCGCCTTCATATGCATGCCTACCCTACTGAAAAAATCACGTGCGTTCTCACGTGATCGTCACACGTGATTTCTCACGTCAAAACCTCACATAATTATTCGAAAAAATTTTAATTTAAAAAACAATCGTTTGAAATATAATTCAACCATAATTTATTGATCACCATTGATGTAACTATCCATATGATAACACCAAAATTGGGAGATTAAAGTGTTTTATGTTTAATTTGGAATATAAAAAAAAAATATTTTATTTTTTTTAATTTCATATCAATTACTTTAGTCTCCCAGTTTTGCAAGCAAAAAATTCGGGTTGAATTATATTTCAGAGAATTATTTTTCAAAATAAAATTTTTTCGATATATCGTGTGAGAAATCACTTAATTCTTTCCAGTAGAGGAGTCTGTACAGTAAAATACCTTTGATTATAAGCCTAATAGCCGGCAGAGTTATGCAATGTATTCCTACTGAGAACTTGAGGGCTTCATTTTTCTTGAGAGCATTGGCGTCTATTATTCTGGTGGCTTTGTTTCAGAACTTTCATGCCGATAGTTTTTTACAATGAATTTTTTGAAATTTGAACCAGACGTTTATTGGGATCCCAGAACGTCAGGTGACTTTTGCAATATATATATATATATATATAGAGATCGAAGAGGTCGTCTATAAGAGAGAAAAAGGTGGTTTGATGTTTCGTCCCGGGAGCACGCCAGGACTCATCAGTAAGGCTGATGACGTGCTCCCTGCCTTAGACACAGGAGAGGTGTGGGCTCAGATTGACTCGATCTTGCTTATATACTAATCGTGCGGGAATTTCACCGCTTGACGTGAGCGAACTATTACGGGCCCGGCCACCTGGCGAGTAGAGTCCGAAGCACGAGAGATGTGAGACGCCACATATATATATAGCCGAGTCAAGGTAAATTAACACTGGTCTTATGGGGACAAATCTGTTTTTATTTTTTCACGCCTACAACAATTGTAATACTATAAAATCTGGCAAATAACATGTTTTTGAGAAAATAACGGTAGTGCAATTAGTTTTTTTTTTTCAACTCAACCGTTACATATAGCTTAAAACCTGACTTTGAAAGTGCGAAACGCACATTTAACCTGTAGAAAAGTTCTGTGTTTACACCTATATATACTATACATAGACAGTGGCGGGAGAGTTTTGTACAGGTTAAATGAGCGTTTCGCACTTTCCAAGTAAGGTTTTAAGTTTTATGTAACGGTCGAGTTAGAAAAAAAAATGAGTTGCAATACCGTTACTTCCTCAAGAACATGTTATTTGCCAGATTTTATAGTATTACAATCGTCAGAGGCGTAAACATGGTGTCCACCGCATCTGCTGAAAAAAATTCCCTGAGATTTCCAGGTTTTCCAGAGCCTAATTTTTAAAATTCCAGAAGTTTTTTAATAATAAAAGTTTGTCAAATATGAGTTATAATTTTTATTTGTCAGTCAATCATTATCTAATAACAATTTTTTTTAAATAAACATATAAAACAGGTATTACATAAAAAATTTTTATCTGTTAAACAAACTAAACTTATACCTGTTTTAAATTTAATATTTCTTTCTCTACTACAGCGCTTTCTTTTAATGCGTCATCCATTATTTCTTTCTTTTTAGTTTCTAATTCTTTTAAAGCTAATATTTTTCTTTTTTTTGCATTTTTCTCTTCTAGTTCTTTATCACGTTTCTTCTTTTCTTTGGTTAAATCTTCTTTGTATAAAGATGATGACATGCGAACACTAGAAATTAACCTTTTGCTTATTTCAAATTCATGTAAAGGTTTTTGACTCGATTTAATTGCATCGTAAATCATTCTTTGAGCTATTAGTGATTTTTCTTTTTGATTTTCCACAATACAGTCCTTATTAATAGAAAACCCTCTTTCAAGCTCAGAATTACCGTNATTAACCCATAATATACTATTTACGATTATTCAGTTACCGAATATTAAAATATTTATTAAAACCACGCCCAACTAACATAGGTGTACTTATTCCAACTATTCTTTCTAAAATATTAATATGTAATTTAAGTAATCTATCATCTAAAAAAGGAGTCTTTGGTTCATTTGACTGAAATTCTGTTAAGAATGGTTCAATTTCTTCAGCAAACGATTGAAAAAAAATTAATTTGGCGTCTAGAAACTTATCACCTAATATATATTTCTTACTACAGTGAAAGAGTTAAGTATAGCTAGGTTCTGTTTTATCTTTTGATACTTTTTCCACGTATTTTCTTAAGAAAGGTCACATTTCTCTTGCTCGTTCAACTACTCTGGAGTTTTCAAGCCAACGAATACCACAAAAATAAAATGAAAATAGATCTGAATTAAAGGCTGCGATATAATCAGCTCTTCTACTAGGCACATTGTTAAACAAATTAAAGAGAGCTTTTCAAAACTCTGAGATATTTCATTTTGCAGCATTAAAACCTGATTTGAACGCATTATTGAACGCAACCGCCCTAAATTCAAAAGTATTATATTGAAGTAGATATTTTATATTCTCCCATCTATTGTATGGATCATACTAATATTAAATTTGATAAATCTTTACCTTAATTAAATTTAAGTATTAATATATGTGGAAAATTGTTATGGATAATTTGTATTAATTGTAAAGTAAAAAACTCTATATAAAATTTCCAGAAATATTTGAAAATTCCCTGAGATTTCCAGGTTTTTCCAGAGCAAAATTAATTCCCTGAGATTTCCGGGTTTTCCAGGTTTTCCAGGTACGGTGGACATCATGCGTAAAACAAAAACGGATTTGTCCCCATAAGGCCTATGTTAATTTGCCTCGACTTGGCTATATATTTCGATTAAGTCACGTGACGTGTTGGGATCCGAATACTGTTGTTATAATACACGTGGTCAAATTTTAAATCATTTACCTATTTTTTTTTTTATTATTAAATTTCCAAATTTAGTTACAATACTTTAACACATAGTTTTAACAAAATTGGCTAAATGAATTTCGCTCTTTTTTTTCGTTACTTACAGGAAATTTCACTAGTAAAGTACACATTAAATTTCGCAATGCGTATAGTGCGGTCTGAGTCAAAATCATATTTATGTCCTATCACATTCATTAAACAAACTACATGCCGAGGTATGCGACGATTGGCAACGACAGCTGACAGCAGATGTATATATTGAAACACATAAACATTAAAAACCCGTGCGACGTTGCCAAATCTTTGGTCACTAGTGGTTTTCCCTGCCGCAAAATATTTCCACCAGCTAACTGTATGAAACGTCCTGTATGTCCTTGAGTAATTTTTTTTTTCCAATGGAGCGATTAATGTACAAATCAAATTTTTTTTTTTTTTTTTTTAAAAAAAAAAAAAAAAAAAAAAAAAATTGCATGTGCTAAAATCATCTAATTTTGAAATTTGAATAATATTTTCAACGAATTGTACTTTTCTGAGAAGTTTTTTTATCAATTTATTCCGATTCAATGTAAAAAATGACATAAAAGAAACCCTTAGCTTATCAATGAGATTCTTGTAGCTTAAGGAACATACCTTAGCCCTAACTAGCAATTAAGTCTAAAAATTAACGTTCCTTGATATAAATAGACAAAAAGTCAAGTTAACATTTAACAGGCCATGTTTTTACTTTTTATTGCGCATTTAAAACAAAATTTTTCAAAGTTTTAACTGTAAATTTAATGTAATAGTAAAGTTTTAACAATGAAAAAAGGAGTGTCAGCTAAAATAGGATAGTAGTTGAAACTTGGTCATAAATTCCAATTTCCACAGCAATTCAATTAAATAATTATACTGCATTTTTTTCAAAACATTTGCTGTACAAATAGAATAAAATCTTACTTATGAATCAAACGTTTTTTTAAACTATATATATGCGAAAATGCTTTTACATTTACAAAATATGCTGTTACATTATTAATCTTTTTGTGATAACAAGCTTTAAAAAAGTTTGTCATATGCTTTTAATAAGTTTGTGGTCTCATTTTTTGGTATCTAGGAAATTCGTTATTTCTTTTTTAACGTGCAAAAGCACCTGAAAACTTTAGAATATAAATACTGAGTTATAAATTATTCTAAATAAGCCAACTTCATCGTCATATATTTTTCAGAATGAACTTTATATTTTTCTTTTGACTAATTACAACAAAAATTATTTTCGAGTAAACGTTAAAATTACTACCGATTTGCAAAAACTGCGTGGCATTTACATCATTGCAGAGTTAACTAAAGTTATTAAGAAGTCTGACAATATTAAATTCATGGAAAATTGAGAACTAATTATTCTTGAACATTAATGCATACAAAGTGTACCTTATGATTTGTAACTCTGTTAAATCTCTGAATCTCAAGTCTTCATTTACAATGGTGTATCAGTTCATGTACTTTTGAAGATGTTCAACAAGAATGCGTAAGTACGTGTTGCAACTCATGGTAATTAATTTTATTTCCCTTTCGTTACATAGAAACTTGACTAAATACACGAAAAAAGTTGTCTAGCGGCATGTACAACTTAAAGTCGTAATTCAATCAATAAAGACTAAATATTCCGGTGTGTAATTAAACAAATTGTGATATTGAGTGTAAAAATAATCTTTTTTATGGATGGATCAAAAATCTGTCAAGAAACATTAGAATTTTGTAAAATTTCATTTATGATTAAATTTTTCTCTATCTTGTAAAATAGCTAAGCTAATATTCTTAAATATCTTACGATTTACAATTTCTCCTGCCATTTTGTACTTCGTAACGACGAAATCCTCAGCAATGGTTTTTTCGACGTCTTCTTTATCAGCCATCTTTTGTTATTAACTTATGCCGCTAAACAAATACTTTTGGAGCTGATGCCTAAATATTTTCGTCGCAATTAACACGTGTGGTAGAAATTTAAGGTTACAGTACACAAATACGATAAAGGCCTACGCAGTGAGAAACTCAAGCATATGCACAGGCACAGTGCGCAAGAATAACATTGGTTGGTAAGTTGGTATATATACATCTGTGAAAACGTAAAGCACACCGCGCTGAGAATCATGTGTATAGGTATACCAACTAATGTTTTTTTTGTGCACTGTGCCTGTGCATATGGACGTGTTTTTCACTGCGTAGGCCTTAAGCCCGAAGATTCGTTCATGATTAAGGTTTTATTACGGTCGCCCATGGTGCACGATAAGACAGGTGATACGAAGTACCCATAGAGGTATATAAGTATAAGAATAGAGGAGAAAAGGGGGCGTGATGTGCGACAGCAGATTTCGCTACGTAACGGGGCATCTGCCTTTGTCTAGCAGTTATGTTATTGGTTGAGTCCTACATAAGATTCAATCAACTGTAGGATTCAGGACGAAGAAGTAGTCAATAACGTGGCTTTGGCAAAAAGGACAGATGCCTCGTTACACTTAGTTATACTGTCGCTGCCGCTAATGGGCTAGTATAGCGTTTTTCCCCTCTATTCTTATACCTCTATGAAAGTACCACCTCTATGCTTTGTCCGGTCTGTCGCAATTTTGTAGCAGAACCAAATTCTCCACCAGGTAGATTAGTGTCAAAAAGGGAGTGTACATATATATATACATATATATTGAAACGGTGACATATATATACACATACATGTATATATATACATTCTACATATATGTACTACCTTTTCGACACTGATCCATCTGGTGGAAAACTTGGTACTGCTACAAAATTGTAACTCGGCAGGGGTGGTACTTCGTACCACCTGTCTTATCTTACATCGTGAGGTCGCCCTATTCAAAAGTGCTAAGCTAGGTTTGGGCACGGTGTAAGATATGGGACAAGTGGTCCCATGAACGCATAACTTTTGTAAAATGTTTGTGGTGTTTTATTCAATATCCAGCAGATGGAAAAATGGAAAACGAGGACCATGTATATAGTTATGCCACTAAAGTACGTTCAACAAGCTCCAGCAGTTAATTTTCAAGTATCTCAGTCTCCTAGATGACATTTAAGTGCAATGGAAAAAGTATGACATGATATCTCTCTCGTACTAATAAGTTATCTACACATTATCTGTATACTTAGATTAAACGGCCAGTGCTTACGGAACGCATACACTGTAATGTTATATATGTACGTGCGTGCAACCAATCATAACTTAGAGACAGAGAGTGAGGTATGCCTGCAGCCAGGCTTGGTTCACTTGGTTGCTTAATTTAGACCAAGCGTTAAAGCTGGGCTGACAACTTTTATTTCTACTCGGGCAGTTGCTCTGTCACGCTATCAGCTGCCTGCATGCTCACTCCGGTAGTATATGCTCTAAGAGTCTTCATGAGCCTCAAATGGCGGATAACCGATCAGCAGTGGTCCAAACCATATAGAGATATAAGGATAGAGTGCGCTAATTATACTAATGTACGTAAGGGGGAGCGATACGGTAAAAGAAAAAGATGGTCGCCGAATGTGTCCTCTCCATCTCTTTCTAGCTGAGCGCTGTGATTGGCTGCTGCTCAAGGGGGTATTCTGGCCGTCAGCGGCAGTTACTGATATAGGTTATTGCCTCTTGAGCATCAGCCAATCACAGCACTCGGGCAGCGTTGGGTTAGGCGGATTCAATATCGGAACTTTTTCCCTAGATCGTATATATAGCTATACGATCTAGAGAGAATGTTCCGTCGAGCAGACAGCACAGCAGTGAAGGGGCATTGCCAAAGACGCGTGAAAATTAAAAATTGTAATATTATAACAGAAGTGCCTATCACCCAATGACCTGGGGCGCTAACTGGCCACTCTGTTAATAAATAATTTTTAATAACACAAGCGCCTATCACCCAATGACCCAGGGCGCTTCCTGGCCACTCTTTTAAATAAATAATTATTAATAACACAAGCGCCTATCACCTAATGACTCGGGGTGCTAACTGGCAACTCAGTTAAATGAATAATTATTAATAAATAACACATGCGCCTATCACCTCATGACCCGGGGCGCTAACTGGAACACTGTTAAAGAAATACTTATTAATAACACAAGCACCTATCACCGTATAACCTGGGGCGCTAATTTCAAATCTAGTAAATAAATAGTTATTAATAAATATGTCAAGCAACTTTTTCCTAATGATCCAGGACACTTATTTGCAACACTATTAAATAATAAAAAGTTAATCGATAACATATGTAAACATATCACAATTTTGATTGTCTATCTAGTATGACAAAATTCTTTTTAAATGGCGCTCTTGTAATTCCTTGATAATTTATTATTAAATAGTAGCCAGTGAGCGCCCCGGGTCATGAGGTAATAGGCGCTTGTGTTATTAATAATTATTTATTTAACAGTGACCAGTAAGCGCCCCGGGTCATTGGGTGATAGGCGCTTGTGTTATGAATAATTATTTATTCAACAGAGTGGCCAGTTAGCACCCCGGGTCATTGTGTGATAGGCACTTGTGTTATTAATATTACAATTTTGAATTTCCGCGTGTCTTTGGCAATGCCCCTTTACTGCTGTGGTGACTGCTCGACGGAACATTCTCCTTAGATCGTATAGCTATACATACGATCTAGGGAAAAAGTTCCGATATTGAATCCGCCTAACCCAACGCTGCGCACGGGTAGAAAGAGACAGAGAGGGCACTCGGCAACCATCTCTTTCTTTTACCGTATCGCTGTGTTCAGTCTCTAGCGCACTCTATCCTTATATCTCTGTAGGTACGAACAGTGTCTTCCAGCGATAGGTTAGGCGGATTTAATACCGGAACTTTTTCCCTAAATCGTATATATAGCTATACTATCTAGGAAGAATGTTCCGCCGAGAAGACAGCAGTGAAGGCCGGGGCACTGCCAAACACGGTTCCCACAACGCGCGAAAATTAAAAATAGTAATATTAATAACACAAAAGCCTATCACCCAATGACCCGGGGAGCTTACTGGCCACTCTATTAAATAATAAAATAATTATTAACACAAGCGCCTATTACCTAATGACCCAGGGCGCTTACTGGCAACTCTATTAACTAAAAAAATATTAATTAGCCTATCACCCGATGACCCAGGGCGCTTACTGGCAACTCTATTAACTAAAAAAATATTAATTAATAGCACAAGTGCCTATTACCTGATGACCCAGGATGCTGCTTGTGTTTAATTAACATTTTATTATTCAATAAAGCGGTCAGTAAGCGCCCCAGGTCATTGGGTGATATGCGCTTGTGTTAATGATTAATATTTTATTATTTAATAAAGTGGCCAGTAAGCGACCCACGTCATTATGGGATAGGTGCTTGTGTTAATAATTATTTTATTATTTAATAGAGTGGCCAGTAAGCGCCCCGGGTCATTGGGTGATAGGCACTTGTGTTGTTAATATTACTATTTTTAATTTTCGCGCGTTGTGGGTACCTTATTTGGCAGTGCCCCTTCACTGCTGTCTGCTCGGCGGAACATTCTTTCTAGATCGTATAGCTATATGTACGATCTAGGGAAAAAGTTCCGATATTGATTCCGCCGAACCCAACGCTGGTGTCTTCTCACTACCTCAAAGCTCACTACTGCTTACTCTCTTGAAGCTTACTAGTGCGAGCGATGGACTTGCGAGCACAGAGTGTGAACAAACGAAGGTAGTCGAGGAGTCGAGTCGAGGACAACTGTAAGGCTAAAATCACATGGAGCGAAATAGACGGATGCAATTGAACGAGCAGCATAGAAACAGCCAATGAGAGCTATTGCGCTGCCCCTACTGTTTGTGTTTCTGTAAGTATATGCTGCCACCGAGAGTGCCACGTAATTGAAAGTGTAAGCAACGTGTATGAAGATGAGTGAGGTTATAACTGCAACTGACACGAGCTTCATACAAAATGATTATAAATTTATAAGTTTATACATTTTTTGTATTATTATTTAGTATTTCAACATCGAATTCTTTGCCTTCCTTTCTGGAAGAAGTCTCATACTACCGAACTACTTTTTTTTTAGTTCAAACCGAACTACTTTCAGGCTTTCAGCAGACGAAAAATCTGTCACTATAGTCTATTTCACTGGATCAGGGGCCTTATGTTCACATGTAGCGATCCAGCGCAACAGAGTGAGCAGAATACATAAGCCGCTGTGAGAGTGAGAAAGAGGTTTTATCCATGATGTAAAAATACAAGGTATGGCGTTGCTCATCCCTTTTGATTGACCAATCAGGAACGCTTCCATCGCGCTGCCATGTCTGCCGGCGAATTTCAAAAGCTTTTAAATTACCAAGCGTATTAACATCAAGAAACTCGTGAAAAATATATGTTTTTTATTTTAATATTTTCTTTTCAGTTGTTTCAGTGACCAATTGCATAATTCATGAATATTTATACAGAAAAAAAACTGACTAAGTAGGTAAACATTCATCAATTGACGTACATGTATATCTATGTCTATATATATGTCTCACTTCAAGGTGGATGGGGGGATGGGTTTTAGTTTCAACTTTAGCCACTTTGTTTTATTGTACAGGCCTTTCGGCGCTGTAGTAGTCACACCTCCCTCAAATATGGCGTCGCGATGGAAGGCGCAGAATGGCACGAAAATGAGACCTCGGAACGCCACATCTTTTATTTTTACATCATGGTTTTACCGCGTACTTCTCTCTCACTCTCATGGCAGCTCATGTATCCTGCTTGTTCTATATATTGCACTCCATGTAAACATAAGCCCATTAGCTCGCGAAATAGAAAAAAATCTAATAGCTGTCATTGGCTATTTCTATGCAGCTCATTCTAATGCGTCAGTCTATTCCGCTCTATGTGATGTAAGCCTAAGGCCGAGCGCATGGTTGCAGACATTTCGTGCCGACTTACCAAATTTCTTACTGGCGATAAATAAGTACTGTTTACTTGCTATATAACACGACCGAGGTCCTTTTTTTACACCTGTATGTCTACAGCTTCTACGTACATACATAACAGTGTCGCAGTCAGTACAAATTGAAGTAATTCTCGTGTCGGGCGATGTG